CAAAGAGAGACCTTATCCTAGGCGTTGTCGGACTGGTAGAAGTCCAACTAAAACAGGTACTGAAAAATCTGTTGAGGAGTAAAATTTTCGTGCCTCAATTCTGTGACATACCTTTTTTTCTTGATCTTTGGATGCTGACAGATCCACTAGCAGAGAGTCGAATAGAGAAACCTCATCCAGTTTATGTCCCTAGAGATGAAACTTTTGAAGAAATTAAGCAAAATACTTTTTCTGCTGGAAGGTTGAAAGCTCTGTTACATAACCTGGTACCCCTAATTGCTGCCACACTGTCAAGCTCAGACATTCCCTTCACAAACTTCTCCGACATAGATAAACTCTATAACGATGGGTTTGAATTGAACGATGATGAACATTCACAGAAGAATAAATTTCTTTCTGATACTTTGGATAAAGTATTTTCTGTCAGCAAAAGGTTGCTCAAGTATGAGATTCCTGCTATAATCAAACGTAAGCACACATATTAAATTACTTTTTCATCAGTATATGTTTTTAGCTGTATCATTTAGCACTATTGAGACTGAGGAATCCTGTTTTATTCACAAGATTGACGATATATGCCATCAGAAACCTGCTCTCTCTAATTTCTTTCCGACTGTAGTTTCTGGAGTGATATTTCATAAACTCTGCATCTTTCTGATTTTTGTTACGCAGGGGATAGATTTGCTTGGTTGCGAGATAATGAGTTTGCGCGACAAGCTTTAGCAGGGGTTAACCCTGTGAATATTGAACTTTTGAGGGTAATTTTTGTTATTTTTTTTGTACTAAATAAATTATAAGCTTTCTTTATACATTCAGTAAGTAAGCTTGCGGGTATTCAACAGGAATTTCCAATTGTTAGCAAACTAGATCCAGCTGTTTATGGCCCCCCTGATTCAGCTATTACCAGGGATCTTATAGAACAAGAGCTTAATGGACTGACTGTTGAAGAGGTAATATTTTCCAGTGTACTTTGTTGCTGCTTTGCTCTAACCAGGAAACTGAATTCACCATACTGGATATGCACCTGGTAGTAGTTTCTCAAACACAGTGATCAGTGTTTCCGTGTAGGATATGATAAGTGACAGATAGATTTCTCTCGTGTTGGTTCTTTGTTGATTTATAATCATCAGTGGTCTATATATTTAAAGAGTTCAGTGAGTTTAGGAATTCGGTAGACAGAAGTATCTGATTCTTCTTTAGAGGATTTTTTTCATTTGAATGATAAGCTCATTAACATACCAAGTTTCCACTGGAGAAAAGTTGCTACAAAAAGTGTTCATAGAAATAGAAATTTTTCTTGCTTAAATTTGTGGCATGCATGCACTTTCTTGGCATCGTCGCCTTTTTGTCCCAATTATTTGCAAATCTTGATCCATTTCCAAAGTGTTATTTGAGAAATCTATTTTGTGGTGGCTCTTTTCATGTTTAAACCAGCTCTAATTTTCTGCTCAGGCAATTGAAGACAAGAGATTGTTTATACTTGATTATCATGACATGCTTTTGCCATTTATCGGGAAGATGAACTCCTTGCCAGGGAGGAAAGCTTATGCATCAAGAACACTTCTCTTCCACACATCCAGAGGTATTCTAAAGCCGATTATCGTTGAACTTTCACTGCCTCCAACACCTTCTTCACCTAGGAACAAGCGTATATTCACCCATGGGCATGATTCTACCAGTCACTGGATCTGGAATCTAGCCAAAGCACATGTTTGTTCAAATGATGCTGGCATTCATCAGTTGGTGAACCACTGGTAAGCTTAGAGCCCTTCTCTTTTTTCTTTTTTTATCTTTTTTTGTAAACATATTTACGTAGCTTTCTTCCAATCTTAGTTCTCATTGTGCTTTCATAATGTCTAATAATCTTCTCCTTTGGGCACTTTGGCATTGACCATGTGTTGAATTAGATTTGAAACTGAAACTGGACGATTGCAAAGACATAGCAGAAATTTTTCTCTAGCTTTGACCCTTTCAGTCGGGGATCTCACTGTGCGTGTAAAACTGAATTCTCAGGCTAAGGACTCATGCTTGTATGGAACCGTATATCATTGCAACCCATAGGCATCTTAGCTCTATGCACCCAATTTACAAGCTACTTCACCCACACATGCGCTACACACTGGAAATCAATGCGCTTGCGAGGCAGAGTTTGATAAACGGGGGTGGAGTTATTGAAGCATGTTTTAGCCCCGGAAGATATTCAATGGAAATAAGCTCCGCAGCTTACAAGAGCATGTGGCGGTTTGATATGGAAGCTCTGCCTTCAGATTTAATAAGAAGGTAAATTTCCTAAAGCAAGACATCTCTTAAAACCTTGAACTACTGTTTCATCTGATAATTGCAACTTCTCAACTAATAAACACAACGTTGATTGCTTTTAAGGGGAATGGCCGTGGAGGATCCATCAATGCCTTTGGAGGTGAAACTTGTGATTGAAGACTACCCTTATGCAGCAGACGGCCTTCTTATATGGTCTGCCATAAAAGAATATGTGGAGTCGTATGTTGAGCACTACTATTCCGAGCCTAATTCTGTCACTTCCGATGTTGAGCTCCAAGGGTGGTGGAATGAGATCAAGAACAAGGGACACCCTGACAAGAAAGATGAGCCTTGGTGGCCAAAGCTTGTTACTAAAGAAGACTTGTCTGGCATACTCACCATAATGATTTGGATTGCCTCAGGCCAACATGCAGCAATAAACTTTGGGCAGTACCCTTTTGGAGGTTATGTACCTAACCGTCCTACCCTTATGCGAAAGCTCATCCCACGTGAAGATGATCCCAGCTATGAGAACTTTATTCTTCACCCTGAGTTCACTTTTCTGGCATCTTTGCCTACTCAACTCCAAGCTACTAAAGTGATGGCTGTTCAAGATACCTTGTCGACTCATTCAGCAGATGAGGAATACTTGCATCAGGTGCACGAACTTCAAAGATTCTCCTTAAATGATCATGAAGTTTTGAAGATTTCTGAAAGATTCTGTGCCAAATTAGAGGAGATAGAACATACCATCAACCAAAGAAACAAGGATAATCGTCTTAAAAACCGAAGTGGTGCTGGCATTCCTCCATATGAACTGCTCCTACCTACTTCTGGTCCGGGCGTTACCTGTCGCGGTATTCCCAACAGCATCTCTATCTGACAGGTTCATGATCTCACAGTCACAGCTCACTCAATGTATTATTCATATCTTCTATGGTTATGACTTGCTAGGGATCATCTGGAACTTGGTTGCATGCAGTTTGTAGTTAGTATTCATTCTTTTAACACTTGTAGAAATATTTTGCAGGTCGTGGATACTAATAAATTGAGGGCATTAAACTCTTGAGAAGCACCATGTAATTAGAAAATAATACTTATTGAGTTTTGTCTTTCCAAGAAGATATATGTGGCTAATTTTCTCATTTAACATTTTGCTGTTTGTGTCTTCACAATTCGGATGGAGAAAAGATCGTGTGGGTAAAAATAAAACACTTATCTGGTAGTGCCTATGCATGTAGAATCCCAAACCTCAAGGGGTAAAATATCTTAAAAAGTTTTGGGAGGTTATGCTCATTAGACAAATTGTTGTAAGTGAATTTTCAACTAATTTCACTAACAACTAACTAATCTTGATTTCTTAAGTACTATTTCTCTTGTACATGACAGTTTAGAGCAAGCAAAAAGTCTTGTGTCAATTTCTTTATGTTATTTTAGCTTGTAGCTAGACATAGGGGGAGAGTGAATTATGTCTTGTTCAAATTTTTGCATTTTAAAGAACTTAATTCTTTAACCTAAGTATTTCAGACAAAATCTCCTTACTTGGGAGTGAAAACTATGACCTAACCTCGTCGGATTTACCTTAAAATTTCACTAACTTTAAAAGGCAATTTTAGTGACAAATTAATAACTAAAGGGACTAACTCTAATACCTTAACCTCTACAAGTAATCCAATTGTAGCTATCCCTCTCCAGACTATAAACTCTAGCCTAGAAGGCTAAATAAACTCTTCAGAATTGTTCAGCTATGATTACACTTCTCAATAAGCAAAACATGCTACAATTAAAGAACAATGACTGTCACGGCCTCAATATCCCTCCGTAGGATGTCGTGGTGATACCTAGTCTCTACGACTAGGTAAGCCTAATATTCAATAATAGCTTGACAGAAATAATTAACAGAAATACTAAAACAAGTCTAATAAACTCATAAAATCTACCGAAGATCAACAAATACTTTCCCAAAATTAGTGGAACTGAGTCATAAGCTCTACAGAGTAAGCTAAAAATATCTACTACATCACTGTCTAAATGCAAAATACAACAGTAGTAAAAGTAAAGGAAGGTGACTCCGAGGCCTGCGGACACCAAGCAGGCATACCTTGAAGTCTCCGTAAGCAGCTAACAGTCGATCACAAACGTCCGCTATGAGCAGACGTACCTGGATCTGCACAAAAAAGATATGCAAAGGCGTAGTATGAGTACACTACAATGGTACCTAGTAAGTATCAATCCTAAGCTCAGTAGAGTAGTGACGAGACCAGGTCAAGATACCTACTACGATATAATAAGCGGAAAGAAAATGTAATATCAAGAAATAACAGAAAGCGGAGCAATGAGTAATATGAAACAAGTTTATAACAGAGACTAATGAAAGGAGTGTAAGCATAGAGATAACATAAGGAAAGCAATTGAAAAGAACCACAATGTTCATATACGAACAATAACTGATAGAACAACGAAGAAGAAAACAACAAGAAGTGTTCCCACGAAATAACACTTTACAACACGAGATAAACAACAAGAATCACAACGAGGTATTGCCTCGTGTACAAAAGAATCACAACTGAGGTACCGCCTCGTGTATATATAAAAGTCACAACTGAGGTACCGCCTCGTATTCACAATTCACAATCTTCAATCATAGTCTTTCCTTATACTACCGTGTGAGCCTTACATTTAAATAGTTCTGAAAATATTTTTACCCGAAATAGCTACACATACTTTAGCCCACCTTATCACGTCATGTGGCTTCACGTAGTTCCCCTACAAGCAACACACACATAAGTCCTACCTTATGCCACCGCGTGCACATTAACCCCCAGTTTTATACCGTCGCATGTGCGTCAATATCACATCACAATAACAACTCGTACCACAAGTGTCCATATATCACAATTTGCCAACAATCAACAATATTACGGTTTCCACAACAATAACCCATGGCTCCACCACAACGTTTACAAGAATATCAACAATAGCAATGAATATAAAATTCTCAACAAGAAAGATATCTCAACAATTGAAAACTTCGCCTTAAAGTGATATGTCTTTCACAACTTCAACACATATAACTCAACAATGAGAAAAATAATGTATAACCACGAACTAAATACAAATAACTAACAATGGAAGAGATAACATAACTTCAAATAAGAATGATAGCAATGAAAGAGATAACTTGCAACATTGACATCAAATAATGATAATCAACAATGAAAGGGATCACATGTAACAATAAAAGAGGAAACAAGTTCGACTAAAGCATGAGAACAATTTATCAAGTAGAATGTAGAACAAGTATTAAATGATTCATATAAGGCTTGTAAAGATAGACTAACACAAGTAAGAATAGATTGACCATGAGAATTTAGAACATGATATAACGTTTCAATTAAAGCATGGATATAGTCTAAGTAGCCAAAACCGGTCAAATACCACGTACAACCTGTATACCCACTCGTCACCTTGCGTACATGACTTTTACATAGCACAAAAGACACAAGTAAGAATAGATTGCGTACATGACAGAGTTGGGAACTCCTCGCAAATGCGAAGATGGGTTTGCAATTGTGAACCTTGTTTCCCTCGCGAAAGTGACAAAGATCATCGCAAATGCAAACTTATCCCAGCCCAAGACTTCTTCGCAAATGCGACCTAGGCATCACAATTGTGATACCTGTTTTTTCCCTCCTAAGGTCGCAAATGCAACCCTGGTGTTCGCAATTGCGACACTAGAGGCACCAGACACCAGATTCTGCATTTTCCAGTTCAAAACTTTCCAAAACATGTCTGAAACTCATCCGAGCCCTCGGGGCTCCAAAACAAACATCCACACAAGTCTAAAAATATCATATGAAGTCGCTCACGTGATCAAAACACAAAAATAACATTTAAAAACTACGAATCGAATACTAAAACGCATGAATTTCAAAGTAAAGTTCAAGAATCTATAGAATAACAACAAGACGTCTGAATCCTATCAATTCAACCCAAATAATACCAAATTTTGTAGACAAGTTCTAAATAGCGTAACAGACCTATTCCAAGCCCCAAAATCAAATTTCAAGTTCAAAACTAAAAGGTCAACCTATGGTCAAACTTTTCAACTCAAATTGCCAAATTTTGGTAAAACAACACAAGTCAACCTACGAACTTCCGAAATCCATTTCGATAGGCTCTAGTATGAAATCACGATACGAAGCTATCGGAGCCATAAAAACACCATTCTAGGATTGTTTTTCAGAAAAGTTAAAGTTTGGTCAATATTTCTAATTTAAGCTTCTAAGTCAAGGCTCAAAGGGTCTGAATCAGCCCGAAAGATTTTCGAACTGAAACTAACCAACCCCGCAAGTCATAAAATCATAAACACACATGTGTGAAGCATAAAAGGAAAAATGGGGCACAATTATACAAAACAATCAGTCGGGTCGTTACATTCTCCCCCTCTTAAAACAAACCTTCGTCCTCGAATGTGCAGAAGGATATACCTGAAGTGGTGAATAGATGAGGATAATGACTTCACATGTCGTGCTCGGTCTCCCAGGTCTCCTCCTCGACCGGATGACCCCTCTATTGAACTTTCACTAACGCAATGTTCTTTGATCTCAACTTTGTATACGGCCAAAATCGGGGAGTTCGACTTTGGGGCTACTGTGGCACTCCACGCCCCACCTCGAGAAGCTCGAAACAGAATGTGAAGTGTGACCCTGAGGTGCGTCCCTCTAGGGAGCACATCGAAGGCTCACTGTGGTCAATCTCGGAACCATCCAAATCGATGATCATCATGGAAAGGCGGGAAAGCTCCCAAGTACACGTGGATAGAGCTGACCAAGTCTGCAAAAATAGTACAAATCCGTACTAAGCCATTATACAACTGTACCAATAGCATTTCCTCATTATCATTAGACATGTACTATGTTGGGATTTCACCCTCCTATATAAAGGGGACCCTTGTCATTTTGTAAGAGAGATGACTATTCAATACAATAGAACATTCTCTGCATTTCTTGCCTAAACGTGCTCAACAATTACTCTACAAACTTATTACTTGTTCATTTATTGCTCCTCATTTATTGTGTTCATTCATTGTTCTTCATTTATTGCTCATTATTATCCTTTAAAGGTCGCCCTCGAGGTCCTATATTGCTGAGCTCAAGGCCCTCAATCTTGTGACCACGCTGGTTTGCTTATCATTTCTTGCTTATCTACACTTAGCATTATTCACATAACAACTAGTATTAAGATAAATCACGTATTTTTAGAACCAAAAATCAAATATAATTGTTAATACCATTTTCAAGGTAAATAGTTTGGCGCCCACCGTGGGGCTAAAAATAATAGCGATTGTTTTGGTGCTAGTTTTCTGATAACACATATTATTCTTCATACTTTTTCTTGTCAAAGATTCTTTGATTTCAAGCTTAATCATGTCTAGTACACAGAATGCACCTGCTCATGATAGTGAAGGACTTGGAGAAAACAGCGACATTAGGGATTGGTGTACCACCTGTAAACCCTGAAGGAGTGCCAAACGTGGAGCCAGTTGATATAAACTCCCACAACGCTCTAAACACGGAAGCAGGCGCAGACCCCGTAAGGAATGGACGCAGGGAAGCCTAGGCTGGAGGCCAAGAAGCACGAGGAATGGAAGAAGGAGGAGTTAGCCTCCAAGTGATATTCGAGATGTTGCTAGCTCGGTAATTCGCCATCGCTCTACTTCAAAGTCATAACAGAACCCCTAACACTGTCGAACTAGTAAACATGCAGCACGAACTAGTGCTGGAGAGACCCGATGAAAGCGGCTTGGGGACTGACCCTACAATCATAAAGATGCTCAAGGAATTTACTAATAGAATCGAGTCAGGAGAAAAGAAGATAGAGGCTAACGATATAAAGGTGGAGACTTATAATTCGAGGGTCGATCAGATCCCGGGCGCACCCCCGATTCTGAAGGGTGTAGATTCAAAGAAGTTCGTGCAGAAACCATTCCCATCAAGTGCGGCTCCGAAGCCCATCCCGAAGAAATTTAGAATGCCTGATGTCCTGAAGTATAATAGGACCGCGGGCCACAACAAGCATATTACTGCTTATAGTTATGCTGTAAAAGGGAATGACTTAAAGGAT